CAATCAATGATTCTCTCTCATTGTTGATGTTTCTATGTCTCTCTCCCTTTCTGGAATCAATATATACCCATTTCCCAATATGCCCTGCCCATGAAGGACTGAGCTGAAGTGGAAAATTAGTCCCAATATTAGCCCCATTTCATCAACTTAGAAAAGTCAAAGCACAGCGTAGGTTGAGAAAGGCTGGCAGAGGCAGGCGAGGGGCAAGAAGGCAAAAAGCTGGGACTGAAAAGGCAGAGCACAGCTATGAGAAAAAGGAAGAACAGAGAGTAGGAGAGATCGGAAAAGGGAATTACCCCAAGGTAAGGAAAGGGGGGAGTGGAAGGAAGGGGAAAAGAGAATTATAAGCAAGCAGGGAATTCATTCAAGAAGAGATCCTGCTCAAGGGCCAGCAGAAAGATAACTTAATTGCCTCCCACTGAAGTGACCATTTGTATCTAAAGAAACAAACTGGCGAAGCCTAAAGAAAGTTAAGAAAAAAAATATTGTTCTATAAAAGAATATTATCCACAGAGAACTACTGCCTTTTTTTTTTCATTTTATTGTCTTTTACAAGAAGAGAATGTTTATTTGTTTTGATCTGGACCTAACCTTTTTACTTGTATCAAACACTAGTATGCCATTACTGAGTTAAAGATGTCCTATGACATAGCAGTTAAGAGTACAAGCTTAAAGCCAGATCTGCCTGAATTTGAATCCTGGCATTTCGACCTGAGGCAATCTGCATACAAATTTGTCTCATCTCCAAACCTCACAGGATTGTTGCAAGAATTAAGTAGGTTAAAAAATGAAATCACTTAGAACAGTGCCTGGCCTCCACTAATCACTGTAAAAGTATTAGCTATAACAACTATTAATCACTATAAAACTATTATCCTCTGGATCTGGAACATAACTCCATGAGAGCTGAGATTTTGTTTTGTTCACTGTTGAAGCCCCAGAGGCCTGACATAACAAGTATTTGTTGAATAATAAAAATTTGTTGAATAATATAAACTTCATGCCAGCAGCACAGAAGCCCAAAGGAGCAGCACTAAAATCTCTATAATACTTTATCCTCAAAGTTTAGAGTTCATGGAGGGTTTTTACCTACATTAGTTCAAGTGATTCACTGAAGACGGTATCTCCACCTCACAGACAAAGACTCAGAGGACTTTTGTGATTTGCCCTAAAACAAAGTCCAAGGCAACACAGGAATTCTGGAAGTAAATCCTACTTCTGTTCACTCTGGACCCTACCCTAGAAAGCTTGAAACATACCCTACCAAACGGTTCAGTTCTCCTTACCTGCAAATACACAAAGGTTAAAGTCACCAGAACACCATCTCCCATTTGCTTCAATATAATTGATGGGGAGGAGAAATAGATGAAACAACATTAATAAATGTTGAAATTGGACAATGGGTCAGTGGGATTGATTATAGTCTTCTTTCCACTTATATATGTCTGAAAGTTTCCATAAGAAAAAATATAGACCTTACTCGCCAACATAAACTCTCCCACTTCCAACTTTCTACTGAGCACACCCAGGTGTGAGGAAAACACCACAGCTGAGAACCTATAGCACTTCTCAGTCTGAAGCAGCGAAGAGAACTGGACTGGGAATCAGGAAGCTTGCCTAGGCTATGCTTTAAATGGTGTGAGACCTCACCCACCCATCTAACACCTCTGGGCCCCAAACTTCCTCATCAGTCCCCTAAAGCAGCAGTTGCCAACCTTTTGGAACTCACGGACCACCAGTGGTCCGCGGACCATCGATTGGCGACCGTTGCTCCAAAGGTTTCCTTAGCCAGTGGTCGCCAACCTTTTGGACCTCACGGACCACCAGTGGTCCGTGGGACCACCGGTTGGTGACCGCTGCCCTAAAGGATTAAATTTTTTATTTCGACTTTCTACTAGGTCCTTAATCTCAACACAAAACCCAATTCATCTTTCTCTATTCTCAACCTCTGAGACCTGTTCTTCCTCCTGACTTCCCTATTCCTGATGCCCCATTCTGCCAGCCACCCAACCATAAAAACTTCAACCATCTCTGACTTGAGACAGAACTGACTGTTCCCTTACCTTTCTAATCAGTGACCAAATCTTTCTTCAGTT